GCGGTCACTTGGCAATTCTGGAATCCCATGTACAACTATAGTGTTGTTTCTGTTGGGATTTCCAACCGCTGACTTTCTCTCCTCCTCTCTTATTGACCATGGCTTGTCAGGCCTGGCCCGAATTTTACAGGCATTAACAACGTCCGGTTGTCGCGAGAGAAGGAGTGTGTCTTCAGCCTCTTTGGTAGTATTTAGGGACACACGTAAAGGGGGTGGCTTATCTCGGGGTCCTCGAGAAAGGCGACACAAAGTTGCAGGGAGGGGAGGGAGTCCCAGCATCTGACAGTAGTCGGTCCACATTCGGCTGTCAAACCGTTCCCTCTCGACCAACAATGAGTCTGTCGATACATCGACGTTGAACAAAATGATCGAGTTGGTCCTCCTGTGACCTGGGTTCGTTGTGGGTGGCACACCCGACTTCCCAATGGGTTTGAGTAATTCCACTGGTTGTTTCTCAGTCACGGTGTGGGGTGTTTGGAATGGGTTTCGTAGAGGCTTCAGCGGTCGATGTCTTTGGCCATGCGCTTGACGTCCCCTGGGGCCGGGTAGGAGGTATGGAGACTTGACCTAATATGGTCCCCACGCGAGGTGGCGTGCCCACAGCTGGAGCTCTAGGTCTGTTTCCAGGTCTCTCTGTGTTATCTTTGGTGTTAACCCTACTTTATTCGAGGATGCTGGTAGCTTTTGCGTGGCGGAGAGCATCTCCTTCAGGCTTTCTGTGCGGAGTGCGGGCATTTTCCTGCACTCTGGACAGATGTACCAGAACCACTTGCATGGTTGTCTCTTCATCAGATTATAGTATTGTCGGGGGACTTTGGTGTCGCAGTGGCAATGCGCCCATCGTTGACATAGGTTGCATGCAAATGCCTCATCGACTACCGAAACAACTTTGGTGCAAACACTGCAGCCATCGGGTGTCGTAATACAGCCTTCCTTCCATGAATAAGGTGCTACGGATTGTGGCGAACCACTTGTGGCTGCCTTGTTCTGAAGCCTTTTACGTCGTCTTCTATTTTCAGGCATGGTATGATCCTTGCTCAAGATAGGACTAGTTTGTGACGGGCTAGTGCTATTCTGTGTCACCTATCTGATGGCTACTGGAATTCTAGAAACATGGGTTGGCCACTTTTTTAGAAGTTCGGCATTCTGCCCTACCTCTGTTTGTCTTCTAGTACAGACTAGTGTGTTGTTTCAGGTGTTATTGGCCGTTTTTGTGCACGACCGCGTTATCCGTGTCAAAGCTTCAGACCTAGCGTTTTGGGCAGAAATTTCGCTATGATGTAAACTTCTTGGGAAAACAAATAATTAACAACAATAAGAGGGTTGAAGACTGAGTGCAGCAAAAGGACAGAATAGATAAGGGAAGACAATTTATGTTGGCTCACCTTCAGACACTTGCCACTTGATCCTCTGCTCTTGACCAACGAGTTTAACCGTAAGCTCCAGATGTGTATGCATAACCAGGAAAGATATTTCCTGGGGAATGACCTCCGGGGAGAACCGAGAGCTAAGGCAGTTTGGAGGTTGAAACCCTCAAGAACCACTGACGGGAGGTAGACCGGTTGGTTCAAAGGAATAATAATGTCAATTTTCAACTGTTGAGAAGTGAGCTGACGAATACGCAGCAGTGAGGTGCGTGCAGGAACAGAAGTGCTGCAAACGCTCGATCTTTTTAGATTGAGTTTTGCAAGTGGGAGTTTTTCAGTGTGGAAAAATCCAAAAGCTGAGAGACGAGAGAAAATATGTCACTATGATGGATTTCGAACTATAACTTCTATGCACTCAGGCAGATGCCTCTGATGCCGGTAAAAATCCATCTGCATAACAGAGGATGGCTTGCAGTTGCCCTTATTTTGCCATTGGACGGCCTTGAACCATGCCCTCTGAGAGTAGAACACGTGCATGAGCTATAGCATTTCGATCTATTCACTGTTACTCCCCTGTGATGAAACCATTATTTACGAAGAGCTGAAGTTATCCACACATTAACACAGAAAGCTAAGTTACACAGTGAAGCTGTCAACGTTTACTTGACGAAATGATGTGAGAGAGTTTTGTGCCTATCTAGAAGCATGCTATTGGCTCGCTTCTGACGCTTACCGATCCCCCTAACGAATGGGCAGTTCAGCCGTACCCTAGTTTTTGGTTTACATGTTTCCGTCTGGATCGCTCGCAGTTCGGGTCCAAATCAGTCACGCCTGAGGTGACTCACGCAAGGCCATTCATCCCTAACATTTAACAAGATAGATTCAGTGAAGCGACAGAGATTATTTTTTGGAAATTTAGTATCTCTTACAGTGAAGACATTTAGCTTCGCAATATAGTCACGTTAGTATGTATTTTCATTTCTTCCATCTCAAATTTTCTGCGGCTATAGTTTTGGCTTCAGAATCCTCTCAAACGATGACTACGCTCCACTGATTTCAAGTTCATGCCGCGAAAACATAACATATGCATTTCTTACACAACATCTTATTTTATTGATTTGCTATTCAAACCCTTCATTGTGTCTAGGCTTGGATTTTGTTTTTTCAGTTGGCTGTTTCTGATGCAACTGTGCGTCTGCACTCGTTCTTACACTTTTGAAACTCATAGGTGATGAGGTCATTAACTGTGTAAATGTAAATGTTGTCTTATCTGACCCAAACAAGACTCGGATAAAGCGAAGCTAATACCTCCTCACGATGAATTCTATTGTATCACGGTCGTTTCATTTCGTGGGAGATTCGAAACCGAAAATAATTTAAGACTTTGAAGGCGGTCCAACGTTTCCTCTGTTGCTGTCAGCAAACAAGGTTTCACATTGGCTACGCTATGTCGGTCCCAAAACTCAACATAAAATCTGTGTTTTGCGCCGATATCTTTAAAGAGAACCAGTTCATGGCCTTTTTCGCATTTCCTAGAGCTATTCCTTGATCGCAGCTATTAGGTGTCAGGGGTCTCATCGGTTTTTAGTAGCCATTATTCACTGGTTCACCACCACGATCTCTTGTTTCGCTTGACACAGATGACATACGAGTCTTGGTTGCGTGACGTCGTGTACGTATGCGTGGTAGTTTTCAGCAACTCAACCTCTACCACCCCACCATATTCATGCATATCGAATAACTCATACTTACTTATACATACCTGTGGTCTTGGGACGAGAGATTGTCTTTTTTTTATTAGTCATGAAGCTACCTCACTACCGACTGAGCAGAAAACGACCCGGTCGGTTGCTAGCAATCTGGCATGCATTATAGTCGCCTCTTGGCAATCCACCTATCCACAAGCCAGGTTCTAGGCAGCACCCATCAAATTAAAGACCGGTGAGTTTGACTAGTGCTGTTTTAAAAATCCTAGAAAGAGTAATCAAGAAAGCCATTATAGCCCACCTAGAGAGCAACACCCTACTTTGTCGTTCGCAGCATGGCTTTCGCAGGGATTTTTCTTGCTTGACGAACCTCCTTACAGTCAGAGAAAGTTGGATTAAGTCTGAAGATGATGTCGTTTTCATAGACTTTGGTAGGCGTTCACAAGGTACCTCATTCCAGGTTGCTCGGGAAGCAGGAAAATTTTGGAATCAATGCCAGTCTGCCTGCTTGGATAAGAGAGTTCCTTGCTGGCAGGAGATAGAGAGTTAGGATCAATTCTCAACTCTCCTCTTGGAGGTCGGTTTAGAGTGGAGTGGCCCCCTTCTGTTTCGCCCACACGTAAATGAGCTGCCAAATATCACAAAATCTCCCATGGTTCTCTTCGCTGATGAGGTAAAAATCTAGCTGAAAATGAGGAGGGATGAGAATATACTTATACTTCGGGGAGACCTAAACGGCTTGTTTGCCTTGTTAGAGAAGTGGCTGATGCCTATCAATGCAGCTATGTGAGCATACACTTAGGGCACATACACCGCAATACCTACGACATTGGTGGGACTCCTCTACCGTCAGTACTGACCCACAATGACCTAGGAGCCAGAGTAAGTTATGACTTGAAAACCATGGCACACTGCAGATTGGTAGCAGCTCGAAGTTTTAGGAAACTTTGGGCATCGCGCAGAACGTCTACAAATTAAGTGGTGACATATTCACCATCTTAAACACATCCTTAGTTAGGTCAAAATTAGAAAACTGTACACAGGTAGCAAATGCTTGTCTGTAAGGTAACGAGACCTTCTAGAAAGAGCCCAGAGGGCAGCCACTCGTATGAGTCCTGCGACGGCTGGTCTAACCTATGAAGATCGACATAAGGAGCTAAACCTCTTCAATTTATCCCAACGCAGACAAAGGGCAGACTTAATCATACTACACAGGATTCTAAGAAATGACTTCAGACCTGGTCTATCTTCTTTTCCTTCCCAAATGGTTGAAATACCTCAGGGGATGTAGTAGGAGGCTGTAAGAGCAAAAATCAAACAGTCTCCGCAGAGTGCTGGCTGTCGCGTCGAGTAATCAAAGCCTGGAGCCAACTCCCACTTACATTTATCTTTTCACAAGTACTTTTCACTCCTCTTTTCTCATTCCTCACTCACCCTGTTTCTACCACTTTTTAAGTAACGCCTAACACCTACCTGCAGTTGCCTACAACAAAAAGAGCTGCAAACGGTTGACTGATCTCGTCAGCAGCTCCGTTGCCCCCCAAAACAAACCAAGCTACAATTTGCAAATAAAATACCTTCAAAAAGACAATCACTACCCCCAAAGCTATAAGCCGAAAGACGCAGAGACTTCTGCAGCCATCGAAGGTGTACAACCGAACAAAAAGAACCAAGCCTCAAGACATAGAGGCGATAGCTCAGAAGCTAAAAGTTTCCTCTACTCGCACTATTGATGTTGGATGGATGCTGGATGCTGGAATCGGTGTCCGCATCACCAACTGACTCCTTCAAAGGGGGATTGGACGAGCACAGAAATCTACTGCAAAAGGATCAATAAGGGCTTCCAGTCTCCTGTCCTCAAATAACAAATATGAATCTGAATCTGGAAGTAGCAATCGGTTGTTTTAAGTTTCGTTAGAGGTTTATTGCTTGCGCGTGGTTCGATTGTTCTCGTTCCACCATCAAGTTTGTGGTATTTTTGGACTTCGTATTGTTGGGCTTATTGACGGAATTAGCCGGGTTGGATAACGATAACTATTTTAATGCTCACCAGCGGGTCCTCCTGCTAGTTGGATACGATGACAGATTACGGGGATAATGCATTATCTGGTAATTGTCAATTTCTTAACTCGAAAGTAGTAGGCTTCAGTGATGATGATATTAGTCATAGTTTGAAGAAAAACATTTCAAATCACGTTAATACAGGAATAAATGCAAGTTTCGTCACGAAGACTGCTAGTAACTCAGACCACCACGGGAATAAGCAAGGCGGTGCGCTTCAACAGTTATCCAACCTCTTGGGTCAAACTATGAGGCTAGAAAATGTGGCTGACTTAAAAGGTAAGATTTTAAGTGTCAAATGCGTTTTCTGTTAATATCGAAAAGGCTGAACGCAACCTGTATGTCTGTATATGTTTAGTCTTTCCTGACATTGGTGGGTGAATTCTATCATTTAAGTATAACACAGCGACTACGGAATGTCATGGTTTGTAATCATTAGTGTGTAAGGGGAAATGAATAAAAAGTCCTGCATAAGTCGACAGCATTGTGAATTTCGAAAGAAACAGTTTGCTGTCGATTGTTGCACATGAGTCAGTCAGGTAGTTGTGATCGTCTTTTGTATCATAGTTGGTCCGGGGTGTTTGCTTGCTGTTGAAATTACACCTGTCTCTTCCCAGTAGCATGTTTGGTTGACGAAACTCTGGCGTTTCCCAAGATTGATTCTGTGACTATCCATATTTCACTATGTTGAATGCTATCCTATTTCCTGTTATTTTTTAGTCTCTAGACCTTAAATACCCTTCTGTCCTGTTATTCTCTTTGCTGTTTTACGTAGATTCCTTGTTTTATCTTCTGTTCCAAGACTATAGAATTTAGTGTCATATTGCCATGTTACATGTATTATCTGCTAGTCTAGGTAGTGGGGTTTTATGAAAGTCGCTATAAAAGTTACTCTTGTAAACCTGACATTTCGTACCGGAGATCTATATATGTTGACGGGTTTTTGTGAATAGGTTGAACTCAATACAAACCTGTTACTCTGTATTTGGTATTGGTTTTTTAGTTAGTTGATTGCAAGAATTATTGTCACGTCGAATTCCTCATATTTTGGTTAAGACAACAAAGCCAAGCGACTTTTGTTATGACCTCACCATTCCTACTGCTTTACATTTATCAAGTATTGTCTTATTTCAAAGGTGAAATGGAGATCAAGACAACCTCAAAAGCATTTTGGATATTCATAAGTTTTCTTAAGTATTCATATTTTTAGTCTAAACGAGTCGGTTAGAATGCAATTTAGCCTTCAGTCGTAATTTCACTTTAGATCCTGAGTAACCGCTGGCTGTATATGGCAAGCACTCCAAAATTCTGCATTTAAATATAATTAAATGCAGATTCGTAAATGTTGTGTACAAAAATTATTCACTTGGTACATTCTTTTATAATTTCTGAGTAACTGAACCATAGGCTTACTAATCTAAGAATAATTGTATTTTCAACACTTGAAGAATTGCAATACAACCAGGTTTCAAACTTCAGCACGTCCTTTGCATTTACTGGATGTTTCTGTCAAACAGTAGCCCTGTTATCTGTCACTGTAACTTATCTGTATCTGTCAAATATATTTGGGCTTTATAACGTACCGTTAAGGACATTTCATTCAAGCCGTTAGTGTCCAAGCTTGTAATGGACTGTCATTTGTGGTTATGTCTAGAGTGTTTATCAAAACAAACATTTTGCTCGCATTCATAACACATCTGCGTATATACGCTTCAACTTTTACGGGACAGTTTTTTGATGTAGAGACACGAATGTCTTACGAAAATATTCGCATTTGGAGATTGTTGCTTCAGAACTGATGCAACATCTGACAAAAGAAAGTGGAATTGTTGATGAAATCGGAGCACAAACTTAAAACGGTCGGCTAATTTTCACCAGTCCACATCACTCACGGCGTTGACAAGACATCAAAGTGCCTGACACTTGGAGTGTACTTTTGAATGGGCTGTGAAACAAAGGTGGTAGGCAAATGTGAGATGTGCTTTCATAACGTTACGTGCATGTGGAGCAATCACCGCGTAAACAAGTGAGTTCGGTAGAGTAGATAACGAAGGTAAATGAGTTGGAGTTGTTAATGGTCAAATAATGTAGTTGAGTTCTGTTTCATAAGCGTAAATATTACCTACCATAGCATTGTGTTACCTGAAATAGTTGTAGGTTAACATCAGTATTTGAAATTTACTACTGTTGGTCTTAAATATACGGGAATTTATAGGCTTCGTTTACGTCCATCAGACAATCCATGTCAATGTTTCGGTACTAAAGGTAGTATGGTTTGAAACGAGTCTTGTTGACACAGATTTATCCTTTTTCTATCCGTCGTTATGCTTTTCCCCTGGAAGTGTAACTCGTTGATTTAGGCACATCCTTCATATAATGTCATAGATTTAAGTCCTGCCCGATTTATTACCCAACCCGTGCACTGAGTTAATTTGCACCAGTTAACCATGGTTTGCGTTTTGTTGCTTAAACTAGGTTATTTTTGCCACTGTCGGTGTTAGTTTCTCTGTATTCTCGTGTGTTTATCTTCCATCATGGCGTTGGAGTGTGGCAGCTTGAATCTATACTCAGTATATTCTTGCCTTCTATTACTTTTGCGGTTGTGTTCGATGTCTAAACGTTTAAGAGTGCGGATCAAGACATGATATTATATACATGATAAGGAAGTTGTCAACTTCTTATCAGTATCATTTTCCAGTCGGTTGGATTCCTGACACATCAAACTGCATTGTCCCACTCCTAAATCGTAGTCTATAGAAAGCAGGTCATTTCTAGGGCATTAACTAATACAGTATTCGAGATTATAAGAATACTTGCTCTCGTCAGTGGTGACGAGCACGTAATATACCCGGATATTGGCGCTGAGCACTTATCTTTGATATGATGGTTCTCTAGATCCAGGAAAAATGCTTGTTAGGGGCAAATGTTAGGCATGTTTTCCAGAGTTGCTGGGTGTATAGTTGCCGGTGTAATTGCTTCCACACATTTTTTAAGCTTTGACATGGTTCATTATCTCAAAGGTTTGACAGCTGTGAATGTTTGTCAAACTGCTCACTAATTTGGAAATTAAGCAGGTATCTTAGGATTTACTGTTTAATCAACAACTATCTGATGATCCACTTTAGTTTTTTGCGGTTCATATACAGGCTGTTAGTTTGCTTTAAATAATTTGTAGCTTCCATGTTAATTTGCATAGAAATTATTTCGTCACTACGTTAAGATATATTATAGTTTACTCAGCCATTACTACAATAGATCCAAAGGGTATTACATCGTATTCGTTGCTTTGTTGGATGTATGGCCTTCATGATATGCTTTTCTTTAAGGTCAATCCTGGAGTTAAGATTAATTCTATTTCTTCAGCTGACCGGAGATTTACGTGTTCACGTATGTTCTTGCTATCGCAAACCGAGAATACGCCAGCAGTACACTAATCTTAGCTCTACTTAAGTATTTAAATATCTCGGTACTGCTGTTCATGTGTTATAGTGCAACTCAACTCTGTAGTTTTGTACACTAAGCTATAAGCCAATTATTGTGCGGCTGAGGAACACACAGCCATCTTGCGCAGATCCATGCACTGGTCAATGAGCCACACCTATTGTATGGGGGCAAGTGATAGTACCCGGCTGCCCAAACTTCGGTAGGTGGGGTGGGGTTCGAACCCGTAACCCACTGGTTGAAAGTCATCTTCCCAAACCACTGAGTCACACCTTCACATTGTGCGGTGGCATATAACAATGCCAGGTTGACCGCACCGAATTAGGTTACTGTTCAAGACAATACATACTTTTCATTCTGTTTATATGAACCAGATGCCTTGCAGCTGAAGCACTACAAGCCCGACAATCGATTCCAGTATCTTTAGTTTAGCTGATGGGTTGTATATTCAAACTTATCGAGGGTGTTTCTGCACATTTTCGAGAGCTTAGCTTTGTGAAGAAAGCTGGACATGCAAAAGTAAAAGATGTTAGCCATCCAAATTCAATCTTAAGTTAGGAGTTCGATAATGGTGGTTCTAGGAGTAAACAAGGTGTTATGAAGGCACATCTGTTTCTCTAGTTATATTCCTTTCAGTGGATTAATGATGAAATTATCGATGGTTTGTTTGAAATGTTTAGTTCCTGTAAGGAAATTTACTAGCAGTTTAACTTAGCATGTTAAAGTTGGGCTTTCAGCTTATTCCTGGACTCGTGTTCTTCTCCTCAAAAGACCTAATTCACGACGTGGTTTGGTCTGCGTATTGCGAAAGATTACCTCACGTAGTAAATACTAGACTTCTGATCGGGAGATCGAAATAACCTTCATCCTCTTAGATTAAATGCTTTGAAATTACTTCTTGAGAGGAGAAAACAACTCACTTGCTACGTATAGGTTCGTGTAACATTGTGAATCACACCTTATTTAGAAGCTGACTACCCTGCCCCATCATCTGAACTGATATGTAAAATGAGGTTCAGATGTGATATTTTTCCAGGAATTTTGCGTCAAATCACTGTTCTTTTTTGCTGTAGTACTTCAATAAACTGCACCAGCATATCTAGTGACTCGTCCCGTTTAACATATGATCCTGATATCAGACTGCGTAATAAAAATAGCATCTTCAGAACGGACTGATTTCACTTCATTTCGTCTCATAGGGTTTTCATCAGCTGCATACAACGTGAACAGATCGGTAAATAATTACTTCGTTTTTAAGTTCGTTACTGTGATTAGTACTTATATGTCTATGTTGTATGTAGCTGGTGAAAGCGATGTGATTCTGACACACTTTCACTTTTCCGTCTAACTGACATTCCCTGTGGTACTTGAAGCGAAAGCGAGTGTATTAATATGTAAAAATGAAATCACTATCATATTTATAAATGTAGATTTTTTATGATAGACAAACATTTAATCTTGTATTGACGAGATAATGTAGTCTAATATATATTCATCTTTTTGTTCAATCTACGACTGTCCTTTAGAGGTACTCAAGTCAGTTGGTACCAGTTGTCAGCGTAAGTAATTATTTGTTTGTTGTTTGGTGTTTTGTTGTACTTCCCTGCTCATAATCACAAAGTATGTTGATAATGTCTCATCATCGATTCAGTCAGTTTTCTTTGAGCGCTGACGTATTTTTAAACAACTTCATACTGTAGGTAGCCTTCCAACGATTCCGATAAATGACCTTCGAGGTGAGGAAGCGGCTGCATATCATCGGGAAGACTGTGTATTGAGGCGCAGTCTAGCAGCACTATATCGTTTGATAGATATGCGAGGTTGGACCCATTCAATATATAATCATATATCCGTAAGTAGTGAATATAATCCTAGTAATATGTTGTTTTGTAAATGTTGGGCACTTATTTCTGGTGATGTGTTCATTGCTGGTATGGTTTATTTCAAAGTGGTATTCATCACGGTGGCACTGGATGACGGTCGCGCTGTCATGAATTGACGGAAGTAGGAAAATTTGAACCACTGAGCTCTAACCCAGTAACTGAATGGTAACGTGCCAGCTGCGAGACCTCACCGTCCTAGGCCCGATTCCTGACGAGATCGTGGGTGGATACTACTGAGGAGTCCCATATGAGGACGAGACAGCTATCCAGTTCTCCCAGGTTTCGACTGGTCCTCCATCTAATCTCAGTTCGTAATGGATACCAAATTAGAATCAATCAATCGCCTCAAACCTCCGAAGTAATATGGTTTAATCATCCAGCTGCTAAACTTTAATGATATTTCATTTTGTGTTGTATTCATTGTGTGCTGTCACGCTTGCTAGTTGTAACTTTCTGGCATAAACTAACGAATAGAAATTTATAGTTTAGGTGTTTGTAAATGACGATATTTGTGGTGTCATTCAACTCTTATATCTACGAACGATTTTTAAGTGTATTTAATGTCGGAATTTTATTGATCACAAGGATTTCTGTTCATACCACAAGTTCGTTTTTGTTATCATTGGTTCATCATAAAAAGTATAATGCTCTTCACGGCAAATGATTTCAAGCTACTATAATAAATAATATTGTAATGCAGTTCTACCCAACGTTTACTTTCACTATGCTGATGATATTTTTTACTCAAACCGATTTTGCTGTGTACAATGTTTCTAGGAAAATGCATCATGTTTCACTGTCATGCGGAAATAAAATGGTTGCAACATAATGAAAAATTGCTCATAATGTATGAATTTTAATTTTGGGGATTGAATTTTAATGAGAGACAGTAGGGATTTATTATATTCTAGCTGTAAAGTGCACATTTCTATGCGTAAATAGCGATCCTGGTAATTTTGGGCAGTATTGATAAAGTAACTTGATCGCTTGGTAAACTAGCTACGCAATAGAAATTATTCCTCTTGTTTATAATACACTTTCGAAAAGTATGCATTAAATATTTTCATGACTAAGTTCGTTTGACACGCTTTATCAAAAGTTAGTAGACAAAATACATCTTAACTATTCAGTAGGATTGTTAGGATGTACCGTGTATTGTGTAAAAAACCATGTGACTGTATATGAATATACAAATTATCCATTTCGAAACTAGGAATGACTTGTATTTCTAACGAATGTATACTTATACTGTAAACTTTATTTCTGTATTACTTCATGTTATGACGATTTCAGGACATTCTCATTGTTTGTTTAACTTTCAAAATTAACGCACCGGTTGATTCCAGTTGTTTATTCCTGTTTATCTGTTGTGTTAACACTGATTTCATTTTGTTTTAGGCCAGGTGCACGACTAATCCAAACCATTTTCTCATCAATCCGTTTGGTCTATTATATCATGAAATTCAGGCATCTAGCTTGGTGAAAATTGATGCCAACGGTAAGCAGTTTGAGTGTGAATATTCTGCTATTCATTTGTTGCTTCTCGATGAGTATTTGTTTGGTTGAGCTGTAGTATATTTCTTGGTGCATACTTTGTCTCCAGTTTCTGTTCGGATATTGGTCGAATATCTAAAGCAAAATAAGAGTTTGTTGACTAGTCATTATAGGGCAACCAGTTTCATGTTGTCTAGTTCTTAGTGATGGCCGACTTCTATCAATCTTTTGCAATACGGTCACCAAGCTAGGAGGTTCATCATCTCGGTGCACTTGGATAGATGTTAGTTGGTTAGAGGCGATCAGTAAGAGTTCGCTTATTCAGTAGCTTCTGGTTAACCGGATTTATCAGACAACAGATTGTTTTGTCACAATTTTCTCTTTGTAATCTATGCAAATAGTTCAATAAACTTTGACTTATCAAAGTTCTGTGCAATTGTTCATCCAATTAACAATTACTTAATCAACATTAGTCAATATCAACGCAGGATTAGGTATTACTGCACAGCGGTCAAAGTTGCTGTGCATCATATCTAGTAAGAAAGCAGTAAGATAAAACATGAAAGGCAGTAGAATGGGTTGAAAGAGAGGAAGAAAGAATGAAAAAATGCTGAGTTCAGTGTAGCGGTTAAAATGAAGATTAAGTGTGGATACATCTGCGTCACATCGATTCTGATCCACACTACTTAGAGTCTCCAACCACTGGTTTCCATTGTCACCCTGACTCCAACCGATTTGTCTGCATCTTTACGCATAGCTCAAACCAACAGTCAAATATTTCATGCGCTGATGCTATATTTTAGTCTAGCCATCCTAAGCATTTTTCGAGCCTGAACATACTTCAGCCAACATTGTGGGACTAGGCATGTGTAACACATGTCTTTGCCATCCCAGTCGATGAAGGTTCACGACCTTATCAAGTGACTTTCCTTTCTTCCCTGAAACTGACGTGGGGGCACCACGGTACACGGCCTGTGCTACGAAGTTACAATGGTCAAACACCGGAAGCCTTTTCATGTCTTCGACCTTTATTGGCCATGTTTCACAGTCATAAAGCAGTAAAACAGCAAACTGCAGGACAGTACGCTTGGTCCTTTATAGACTTATTGGATATCGCGGAAAAGCCGCAAATAGCGTAAGTTGGCAAGAGCCAATCGAGCCTTTTGTATCCATGCAGAGATTTCGTCTGCCACTGACCCACCAAAGTTGATCCGACTTCCCAGGTAAGTGAAGCATTCAACGCACTCAACCATTAGTTATACTGCTAAAAAGATAATTCACATCGTATTCAACAAAGTGACTAATTTGTTCGCTGAGTATTATTAGTATTCGGTCAACATGCAATATAGATAGAAGTCATAGAGTGATCTAAGTATATCGAAACTTAGTTGGTAAAATGCTTATCATATTTTATGACTGTCGCAATTCTCAGTAGTGCGATTTCTGAGCTTATGTTATGATGCTGGGTAACGTTGTTAACTTGAAATTTATGTTTAATTATCTCTGTCCATGAATTTCAGAGGTATTGTGCAGTATGAAATTCTTTTGCACTGCCGAGTTTCTTTTGAGTATCCATAAGTATCGTCTATTGAAGGTTTAGTGCTGTGACTGAAAAGTCAGACTAGTACAAATTTATTCAGTCATCGAAGTTCTCTCACTCATGCATCCTTTCAGTCATTTCAACTTTGCTATGCCGAATCCTTGTAGCTTGAGCCTTTAAACTTTTCGAGGTTTTCTGTTCTGTTAGTTTTTCCAGCTAGTTACTGTCATAGAAAGCAGATATATGGATGCTTCTATCGTATTCATAAATTTATGGTGAATACCTCTTTGAAGTTCAGGTTTCTATAAGAAAGTAACCCGTTTGTTAAATAACACTAAAGATGACACCTACATTGATGTCAGAAGCTCTACCCTCAAAAAGTTTGTTTCGCAACAAAACATACTAATATTTTCCATAGTGCTGTACTTATGCATTATAGGTTTGTAGTGCAATGGAAAAACAACACTAATGTCTGCATATTAACCAGTGTACATTACTATAACCAAATGACAATCTTTCAAGGTAATATTCATCATGAACCGACATCATTTGTAGAGTCATTGAAAACCTGATTCGTCCTAGTATGGGACTCTTCAGGGGTGCGCACCCATTACCCGGCCAGGGGTTCAACCCAGGACGGTCAGTTCACACGGCGTGCAATCAGTCCACACAAACCTACAAACTGGAATAAATTGTATGTGTTCCCAAAAATGAATTTATTGACACAGTTACCGTCAGTTAAATTAACATCAGAGGATTAAACTTATCATTCTTCGTTGACATGCATACAAAGTGTTCATCACAGTCAACATAATTAGGAGTTGATGTATAAAGGTATATGAAGTTCGATGAATAACTGATTTTTGGTAGCCATATCAGCAGAAGTACGTATGGTTTAGCATATAAATTGTTTTGGAAAACTAGCTCACTTCACTCATACTAGGTTCATTTTACATATCTTGGCAAAAAACTAAGGAGTTCGATTATAATATTTAACATTTTCCAAACTTTTATAAACAGTAGGGTGAAAGAATCATGAATGCACTCGAGCATTGTTAATTGATTACCAACGCTGCATATTATTTTCTTGTTTTTCTTGAATTTCCGATATCTATTTCATGTTAAACCAGTTTATGGGGCTATGGTTCATCAGTTTAGGCAGTTTACTTCCAGCCAAAGGGGTTAGGCTTTTGAACCCGGCCTCACCTACTGCGATTTGAGCAGTTAAGTAGTGTCTATTTAGCCCTCACACAATAATTGTGGCTGCTTTTCAACTGCACACATGTGCGCGTGGTTTCTGTGGTCCTCTCTCTCTACACCAAATACCAAGGTGTTAATCAGTGTTTGTGTCTACCTAATTTTGTGCCCAGTGTATCACATTATTCGATTCCAACTTTAAATGTTTTAGCAAATGAATTGTTTTGATTGATGTATTGGTTGAATACAGGGTGCCAGCTTTTTAATTTGTGTCCGTCTTTGATGAACATATGTTTGATTTATATGCATCTTGTTGACTAGCAGTGAAGTCTAGAACGCATATTTCGTCCTGCTTGGGACTCATTCGTCAACCAGATGTGCCTGCGCCCCAGTGAGTGGTTTTTCCCACTGGGACTCGAACCCAGTACCCATGGCTTCAGACGCCAAAGCGTCTGCTTAGAAGCCCACCTGCCAACAAAGGTCGAGCAATTCGACCCCGTATTGCAACGCAAGATTACGAGTATCGAAACTGTTGTAAGGCACCAGTTTGCATTAAACACTGCTATCGATCTGAACATTTTTAACTTGGCATTCTCATCTTTTTACAGTATGACTAGTAGTTTAATTTCTACCCCCATTGTAATGTTGCTTGCTGATTGGTTAACATTTACTCTTACTATACGAATTTCTCTAATTGCGGACAAGGTCATATTTTATGTGTATACTTATTCACGTGTTTCAATTGATTGATTATTATACTCTCGGAGTAATAAACTCTCCCATCTGCCAGCCTCGGTCTTCTCTCTATTCGCTCCAGGGTTGCAGTCAGTGGCTCTTGCGTACTAGGTTGGCTGTCAGCTAAGTGTGCGCATCCTATTATTCGGAATATATGTATAACTGTTGGCGTACGAAGAGATAACAGAAACAATATGTTTAATTTAGTTAATCATATCATCAATTCACTCTTCCATTTCATGGGTTGTTGTATCATGATTGCGCTTCGTAATCGTTATCACTTGACCTTCTTATGGTTGTTCACTAACAACCAGTTCTTTTAATATGTTAGGTAGTTTTATTTCAGTGTTCACTTAAATACAGACAACTCTTGTTTTTATTTATTCCAGGTAATATAGTTGATCAAGGTAGTTCAGTGTTGGGTGTAAATAAGGCTGGATGGACACTTCATTCTGCATTGCATTCAACTCGTAAAGATGTGAATTGTATTATTCATGTTCATTTGCCGGATGTGATAGCGGTAAGTCAGTTGAATAGATAAATTTGTCTCTTGGCTGTAATTGAATATTTGCACTTTCGTTGGTTATTTTAGTCATCATAAAAAATCAGGTAAAAGACTACATATATATGTCTGCAAAGTATTTTCAGCTGTCGGAGTGTAAGACCGGCAAACAAGTATCAACAATTTAGGAACTACGATACTGTTGTATCGATCCAGGATATTTTGTGAACATCACCGCAAGTTAGAATCAACACACAAGCAAAAGTAATGCAAGCAGTGAAACCAGTAGTACTAGCGAAGTGAAAGAAAAGTACTGATGGGATGAATGTAAGTAAAGCGATAAGTGTAATTTCGAAACCCGAATTCTGTAACCTGTTGTATACGTTTTATGAATACCAGTATGGAACTGTAGCTCATTGGTTTAAGGAGATGACTTTCAACCAACGAGTTACGAATCGATCCCCGATCCACCTACCGAAGTTTGGGTGGTACCATTAGCCTTCAGACAATAGACGTGGCTCACTGCCTACTGCACGAATGTGCACAAGTTTGCAGAGTACATTTTGATTTCAATTCGATGAATACCAGTCAGATTAATTGCTTACTTCAGTCTAACCACATGGAGATTTCTATTCTGCTCCCACTTATGGCTGTCATGGTCGGCGAAGGTATATTGGGACCAGATAGGCATAGCTCCACATCTTAGCTGACCATCTCAATTGATTCCCTTTGACACCAAATTCAGTAATCTGATTTCGTCACCTCTCAGTGTAAATATAATATCGATAACACTGCTGACTCTGTGGTCCAACCCAGCGTGAGGGATGTCTCGAAAGCATCTAAACTGAAGTTCTTTTGAGTTTCAAGTGACTTTACTTACTGGTAAAATCCAAACCCAACCGATAGCTGCTACCTTGATGTAGTGATCAGGCTTGCATATCACAAAGACCCAACGAGCTATGCTCCCTCGAGGTCCTATCATACCAGAAACGTCTCTTGGATAGTGGTTAAACCAAAAGCAGTTACCGTTGTAGTGTGAATTACTGCATTATGATGGGGTCTAAGGGCAAAGTCGTTTCGCTACTGGCTGACTGGGCTGTGATAGTACTGAGGTGATGTTTCCCTTGGGTCAGGTAAGAGTGCAAGGGGGAGGAAAGGTCAACCCCCCCAATAACTCACTCCACCGTCCCCTAGTGTTTTCTGGTGCCGGCGGTATGGGTTCTGTCTGTCCGGCGTTAGAAAAACCAAACCTCAAAACAACAACCCTCAGAAGACTGTTCTTGACAGCCCTCAAGCAGATGCCCCATGGGCTTTACGGTCACAAATCTTTCTTTTTCAGTTACCTTAAGAAGAAATAGCCTTCCACATTGTGGTCAACCGAGTAGTGTCAACCGCCTGCACGCTTCCTGTAGTACAGCTGACACAATCAAACATAACCTATCCTCTTCAACTCTGTCTTCTTTGCCTTAACCTCCTGATACTAATATTAGGCCTCTTACGCCTCCAACCTCTCGCTCTGCAATTACTAAACGGCCAACGCCATCACAACCTCATCCCTAGGCTTCTTAGGTCCCGCCATCGACTTCACGTCGGAGCTTTCAACGTTCAAACTCTATGTCAAATATGACAGCAAGCATCGCTTGCCAGAACTCCGGGATCTGCAGCCATTGGTGTGTGTCGTATCTGTGAGATACACGTATACAGGACCCGAGTGTGACTGTTAAATTAAATTCACCTGACCATAGTAGTGAGTCTTCGAAATTCACCGTTTGGATGTCCGGAGTTTCAATGGGTAGCTCTCATTGGTTCTCCGGTGTAGGCATTACATTGAGTTGTAGAGCAGAAAGTATGCTCATCGACTGGATAACAGGCAATAGTTTTCTGTATGCTGTTGTTAGACTGGACGGATCTGTAGAAACCAGGAAAGATCGGGAGACTAGTTGATGCCTATTTGTAATCCATGCCTACGCATCCAGCGATGTTGCATAGGATGAATTCTATGAAGAGTTGTCAATTTCGCTACGAAAAGAAAAACGTTCAGATGTAGTAGTAATGACAGGTGAGTGATGTTAATGCTGAGTAGGAAAGCCGAATCAGTCGGAAAGGCATCTTGACTGTATCCATGGAATCCCATATCAGCAAACTGGCAACGGTGATCATCTCTTGCAATTTTGTTCTGATATTCACTTGTTTCTGACCAGCACTAGGTTCAAGCCTAAGGAGAGACGCTGTGTCACGTGGGATCCGCTGACATCAAACCAACGATGGACACAGAAAGATCATATTGCTGTGAGGCATTGTTGTAGAGGATCGTTGGAGGATTGTTACTCTTTCTGGAATACCAGTTTGGACTCCAATGACGCGCTACTACAGGCTCTTGTATGTCTGCGCCTCACTAGTCGCAGGAAACAGTCGGTAGTAGAGCCTGTCTGTAGTCGATTGGAAGATGGGAACGTCAAGTTTGAATTTAGTGAAGAAATAGCTAAGCATTTATCTAAACATGACAGCATTGCTAATCCTGAGGAAACTTGGCGTGATATTGTCTGTTGTAGAAACCGATAAAGAATATTGGTAATGTACACTTAAAGGTCAACAAACATCATTGGATTTCTGCAACGTCATCTTAACTGATTGATGCGAGAAGACTGATTCCAGCTAGCTCTGATAACAATGAAGAGAAAAAGCAACTCAAATGTAGGTTGACCAAGAGTCTTCGCGCCGACTGCCGACGGTGGTGGGTGGCAGAAGCAATAGAGATGGGGAAGACATCAGCGGTGGGTAATACTCGGCAACTACTCAGAGTTATTAAGTATATCAGCAAGAAGAAAACGATTGTGAGTGAAACCGTATCTGTTAGTGTGAGCCGTGTGGGGAGATGTAAGCTACTTGGTTGGGTGGGGTCCTCGAGACGATAGGAATCAGTACTTTAGAACTCTTGACGACATGGCTCAAAATCGATCACAACTTTACAGATGTATTCACTCTTTCACATCTTGTAAAAATTGAGTATTTGCGCTAACAAATTGTTTATTCTCTCACAAAATTTTGTTTACTTTGTTATTGGTCTTTTTCTATCCACTTGTTCTTCGTATACAACCACGGTGAAGTGTGGGGACCTTGAATGACTGGACCTCTGTGAGAGATCTGCATTGTTTTGGTCAATCAGTCAGTCAGTAAATTCAAAGGATTTAATTGAGCAAGTGAAGGATGTCGGCGAAATATTACTCAATAATCCTCTAGAATCTATTCAGTAATTTGTAAGAACAAATGAAACAGATAAAGGACTAATGTGTGTGTGTGTGAGGTAACAGGAATGTGATTAACGGAGCTCAGGGTCTTTTCTGTGCTATTATGTGAAGAGTGGAGGTGTGGCCTATCGACCTACGAACTCAAATTCCCAACAATGGGTCGTTTAGTTTGAATCTTACTTCACCTACTTTAGTTTAGGTGATCGGGTAAGTATCATAAGCCCTCACACAACAAGTGTGGCTCGTGACCTAGTATACAAACGCTTACCGGGTTAACTTACATATAACATATGAGAGTGATGTCAGTAATTCTGCTTAGAGTTCTTGAAAGTCAAATAGGGATGACGTTCAAGCCAAAAAAACTCATAGAAACAAGCTTTGTGAAGTTGAGTCCTATTGACTCCAATTATATTGCCAACAAGATAACTTAGTACTGATTATTTTCGTGTTAAAGCTCCTACTTTGTAATTTATTGTATATATTCTTAAACGTTTTTTTCACTAGGTTTCTTGTCTTCGTGCTGGTTTGTTACCAGTAAGTCCAGAAGCTATCGAATTGATTTCAAATCATGGTATCCGGTATCATGAATACCGAGGTATCTTGGTTGATGATGCAGAGCGTTCTAGCATTGAAAAGGATTTGGGGCCTAAAGCAAAAGTGTTGTTTTTGCGAAATCATGGTGTGGCAGTTGCTGCTGCTAGCATTCCTGAAGCTTGGTATCTTGTTAAACGAGTAATAGCCGCTTGTCAAACCCAGGTAAGTTGTTCTGAATTGCGTTTTTAAAGAAGATTATCTGTACTGGTCGTGTGTAGGATATAAATTGTTTGCAGTATAGTGTTGAACATGTCTTGTGGTTGTTGGCTGACCAGAATATACCGAGTCTTTCCTGTCAATCTTTAGAAAGTCACTAAGATTTTTTTAATTTTCTTGTAGGAAATCTACTAGTCTAACTTTTTATGGCTAGGTCATTATTTTATCATATGGATGGTAAAGTTCCTTCTTATCACCACTGTTCTGTTAATGCAGCGTGTTATACAAGGTTTTTTTACGGTCATTTTTCGGTGTTTTGACTGATGCACAGTTCTTTAAGTTGACTGAATATTTGTTATCTGGCGGTCATTTGAGATACTTTGGAAAACTAAAGCTGCTGGGTAAATGTTATGTAACGTCTATCATGTTAGGTTGACTTTGATGCGAAAACAACTGAGTTGGATCCAATACTTGTTTACTTTGTTGAAAGATACACACTATTCCAGTGACTCAACATACCAGCATTTGCATAACAGACGGAATGCTTAAACACGAACATCAGCTGAACGTAGCCTATCTCACGAATCATATGCCACCTGTTAGCGACATATTTCATTTGCATCGTGTGCTGAATTTACCCATTAAAAGCGCCTCAGGTGTAAGCTTCAGCATCTGTGACGAAAGTGATGAAACATAATTTTTGCGAGTAACAAACCATGTGATTACCATTGGCTTTTTCTGTCTCGATTGCATTTGACAAACAGACAAATCACAAGCGACTCCATGGAAACCTCAAGTTGAGTGGACAAAATTATTTAACGGCGATATTTATGGTTAGGGATCATCCATATTGGTCGGGATTAGGTAGTCATTTAGCATCCACAAAACTCCTAATTTTCCTTTATTTTTACGCATATTCAAAATGGTTGCAATCTTCATCATGGACTTCGCCTTGAAGAGTACTTGCATGAGGAACATCTTCAGAATATCCACATTCCTAACTAGGTAATTTTCATTATTTCAAAAATTCAGTCGACCAAATACATGAGATCCCAACCAAAGCATAAAATGTAAGATAATTCACTTGCCGACCTCATATCATCTGCTTTAGTGACATCACACATCGTTTTCTAGAAGAGCGGTAATTGAACTTTTTGAAAGTAGTGGTCCTACAGTTAACCTTGATTGGTATATGGTACTGTGACTCTTGCTTCACCACTATAGGAGGCTATGTAGACAGACAGAGAGACAGTCAAAGTAGAACCCCGCACACAAGTGTACCTCTTCAAGTTGCCTCGATTCACAGCAGTATACAAAGAACAAGTGGATAGAAAAAGACCAATAACAAAGTAAACAAAATTTTGTGAGAGAATAAACAATTTGTTAGCGCAAATACTCAATTTTTACAAGATGTGAAAGAGTGAATACATCTGTGAAGTTGTGATCGATTTTGAGCCATGTCGTCAAGAGTTCTAAAGTACTGATTCCTATCGTCTCGAGGACCCCACCCAACCCAGTAGTTTACATCTCATACAGCTCGCAACAGCAGTTAGGAACTTTATCGACTGGTGCCACGTCTTGATTTGGCCACCTTGAACCCTCTTCCAACCTAATCCAACTTCCTCTAGCATCGCATGTCGAAGTAGGTGGTGGATCGGCATGCGCAATGCGTATCCAAGCCATCTCAGTCGATGAAGGTTCATAACCTCGTCAACCGACTTACCTCTACTCCCTAAAACTCTACACCTGACGCCTGCGTTACTCACGTGGTGACACCACGGAATACGATCTACACTACGAAGGCAACTGTGGTCAAACACTTGAAGCCTTCTCATGTCTTGCACCTTCAATGACCACGTTTCACAGCTATACGGAAGGACAGACCGGACTTCTGTGCAGTACACGCGACCCTTAGTAGACAATTGGATATCGCGGCGGCGCCACAGGTGGCATAAGTTGGCAGGAGCCAGTCAAGCCTTTCGTATCTGCGGAGATTTCATCGGCCACTGAGCTACCACGGCTGATCCTACTTCCCAGGTAAGTGAAGTGGTCGACGCACTCAACCACTTCACTCTCCATTGTTATCCGAAGCACCGTTGAAGGCCAATCCTGGAGCAACAATTTGCATTTGGGTGGTGAGAACCGCATCCCAAACATTCTCAAATTCCCACTCAAAGTGTTCAGAAGACTGCATTTTGTTAGCGTCTTCACCTAACAGAACTATGTCATCTGCATATTCTAGATCTAACGACAATTCTCCACCTATTAGGTCAACTCGGTGTAATCAGGCGATGAGAGGGAAACCTCCATAAGAATATCTGTGATAAAATTGAATAAGAATGGAAAGAGTGGGCACCCTTGACGGACACTACTCAATGAGTACAGTTCACGTGACATCTCACCATAGGTTCTGACGCGCCCACAAGTGTTCGAGTAGAGAGCATTCAATAAAGTGATGTACTAACTCAGCACGCCTTTCAGTGAGAGACACTGCCATAAGACTTCTCAATCAACGGAGTCAAATGTCACCTTCACGTCGAGAAATACAGCCAGTGTTGGGTGTCGATAAGCGTGTCTGTGTTCCAAAAGCTGGCGCAGTGTGAATACTTGGTTGATACATCCGCGCCCGGGTCTAAAGCCTACTTGGTTTTCTCGGGCTTGTTGTTACCGAGCTCCACTCAGGCGTCGAAGAATTATAGAACCTAGGATCTTAGACACTATATTCATCACGCTGATTCCTCTGTAGTTATTACAAGAGGACTTCTTGCCTTTCTTGAAGACTGGAATAATCAGTGATTCAGACCAGCCAGAGGGGATCGTATTTGCTTTACATATACTGGTTAACGCTTCCATTATCCCGACTAAGAGCACCTTACCACCATTCTTGTATACCTCTGGAGTTAGTTCATCTGGTCCTGCTGCCGTTTCTCGTTTCAGGTTACCTACTGCTTTCTCGACTTCTGCAAGTGTTGGGGGTATATCTCTATGTCCCATTCAGGATCCGACTGGATAGCGGGCAACGTAATGGTTCCTGGAGGTCAGTTAAACTGTTCCTCGAAGCGTTCTGCCCATCGTTGCAGTCGTCTCCTCTGCGAGTGTTAATAATCCAGTGATTCAGATTTCAAATCAGCTACAATCCTCGAACTATTCTGAAACAAGTTCTAGGATCAACACTAGAACTTGTTTCAGAACAGTTCGAGGATTGTCGCTGATTTCAAATCTGAATCACTGGATTATTAACAGTGAGATACTTTATTTGAACCATCCTTACTCTTCTTGTTATTGTTGCTTGTTTGGTAACCCAGGCGCCTGAACTTAATGTGAGTAAATGTGAACTAATCGACTTATGATTCCATCCGGTCGTCCAAGTTGGGATTAGATGGAGCAACATCTCAGTCGGCTTCACTACAACTTTATCGTGCTTTCAGTTCATCAGGGTTCTGGGAATCATGTAGACCACTTACATACAATTGGGGTTTGTCATCTTCGAATGAATTTTATTTGTTCATCAGGTTGCCTCGTAAAGCCGCATTGGTTTTTACTTTAGGCACAAGTATCTCTCACTTTAATCTAATGTATGATTTTTGGTACACGTCTCATTAATCGTCTTATACTCATTTAGTCCATTTCAAGTTAGCGGAAGACATAAGATGTGTGAGCACTTTTCTCTCACTCAGTATTGATGATAAAATAATCGACTGGCTGTATATCTTTATTTTTTATCTTTTAGATGCGTTTGATGCAACTAAGCGATGCTGCTAGGTTATTGTCTGATTTAAAGGAAAGTGCTACGCAGTTAGGAGATGGTCGAGATGTTGATCATGTGGAAGAAACAGAATTGAACACTGTAGATCATCAAGGGAAAAGCGATTCTGGGATGCTGAACGGTAAAACAAGTAGTGATAACGGAGGTAAGTGATGCTTTCATAAAGATATAAAGTAAGTCGTCTTGGTGACTCTCAGTAGAATCCAAGATGCCCGTTTCGTCCTATTCGGGACTCGTCAGCTGGATGCACCTGTAAAAGAGGTGACTATCGTGCCCCCGTGGTCTAGTGGATAACACTTTTGTCGTTTGAAGCGAAGCGTATGATTTCGATTCTCAGTAGGAACAACATCACTCACTGGGGTACAGGTATATCTTTCCGACGAGTGAGTCCCAAGTAGAAGACGAAACGAACCTCCAAGATTGCACTGTCGGTCACCAAGATGAATACCGGGCAGTATCGTGGCATCCGCATAGGAGCCTATCTGCCAACTAAGGTCGAGCATAATTCGACTCTGTATAGCAACGGGAAATTACAAATATCAAACAACAAGATATGAAGTAATGATTAAAAACCCAATAATATCTATTGCAACTCGCTATTTACAATGAATACTTTGACTGTAACATGCTTTTACGATCAATTGTGTATTCAAACGGTAGTGCATTTACAACAGTCAAAAAAGCTCAGTAAATCCATACCTCAGGATGGTTGTTTCGTCACTTTGTTAGTAATCAATAATTCTCCTCTGTTGAAAAATCCTGAACAATCGAAACGTAGTGATCCCTTTCTAGGGTGTGTAATACCTAAACTTTAGAGATACAATTAGTGCATTCCAGGTTTGTGTGACTAATATTTATTGGAAAATTTTATTGAAAGAGGCAAAAGACAGGTATACAGGAAGGAATGCTTACTGTCAACCAGTGGGACAGTAGTCGTTAAATATGGTACACCTTGTACTAAAATCGTCATTTACAAAATATGCTTCATTTCCTCTTCTGCTTCTTTCTTGATTTACTCCTCATACGCCTGCCTTGTCTCTTACATTTCTCTTGACGGAATCCTTACCCATTGCTGGTAATCTCCTATGATTTCTGCCACCCTCTCAACATATAATACTTATATCCATTCTTATCAGCAACGCCCACTACACTATTTCTGATTATAAATGGTTGCATATAAGGACGTTAGTTTGAAGTCTGAATTTCCGTTCTATAATTAATACATTTTTATCAGTTCATGTAAACGGAAGATACCACTAGCAAAGTATTATACTCCTGAGTTAACCCGTTTGTCAATGTCGGATAACTTTTGTCTGATGGTAATTGTCTTTAGCACGTGATCCCGCCGACTCTATCTTAACGCTGGTCTTGCACATGATTGGTTTCGAATAATATACTTACCCAGTGGCATATACTCATCCCACCCACATTATAAGTCATGCAGTTCAGCCATCCCAACCGTTTACAACAGAACACAAAGTCTGGTGCTTATTTTCTTCATATATTTTAGACGATGTGATGCATCTATACATACAACTAAATTACGTGACCGCAATGCACCATAATTTGTAAAGATTATGCGACCAATTTCAAGCACGAAGGATGAGATACTGCACAATAATGGATTTCACTCAACATTGAATTATTTCTGAGCTATAGGGGTCAATCGAAAGCTCCTAAACCGAGGTTTACAATAATGTTGCCAATTAGGTCATTGGTAAAACGACTTTCAAAATAAATGAAATAATACGACCAATGAAAATGATCTGTGACTCATCTTTTCCACTTTCTGGCTGATATAACACACAAGGTGTGTTATCCAAGTTGTTTGCCTTATCTTTTTCATATCTGTCCATAATTTCGCTCCGCTATATATATATATATATATATATATATAATTTGCTGGATTGAATTTTCAGGAGAGCAGGTGGCAATGACAGTATTTGTTAGGTTTTGTACTGAAAAGTATAAAGGAATCTGTCAGCTATATTCATTTTTATAGGTCGTATTGTGCTAGCGATGATTGCTTGTTACTTTTGCTTTCAGGTAGTATTGTGCTGTATCGATCGATGTGTTATGGACTTGACACACTTATCACTTTCCTCATTAGAGACTCTGGGTAATATGGTTCAGAACCGAATTCAGTAGCGCAGAAATATCCAGACATTATCTTTATCTTAATCATTACACTGAATTTCAGTATTGTCTCGTTCTTTCTTGCTCTCTTCTCACGGCTTTCCACCGCTTTTGGCGGCTTTCTCACATATTACTTTATCTTCTTGATGCATTCTTGCTTTGTGTATTGATGTGAGGTGTGGCAACTTAGATTATTTAGCAGTAATGCCAGGTTCCATGCTGATATTATCTATATCTCTATTGTTTTAATATTTGATAAAGTGCATCATCATCTTTAGGTTGTCTACAGATTTATTGGTGTCTTGATTTCATTCTTAAATCTCTTATTTCGTTAACGGACAGATATTTCATGGACTCCTGAAGAACTTGAATTTGAAGCGGAAATGCGTGTTTTGGATAGTGCAGGCTTTCGAACTGGTCATGTTTATCGGCAACCTAATTTATTACGACGTTCACATTTAGGTTCAACTTGGACAGGAGATACATATGGTGATCAGACTACAGGAGCAGATCTATTGACAACTGACTTCTCGACCAATGAGTTCAGTGGAGTGGAAGATATAGCTGCAGCTGAAGCAGCAGGTGCTGAGCAAGTGGCAAGGTTAGTGAGTTGTTGGTTCCTTTTTCGAAAGTATGTTCATATGACCTACTGTGAATTTTACTCGAAAGTTACGCTTCCTTCATTTATTAGTTGGTAGACCAGTCATCAGTCAGTGGGTTCGAATACATCAGTCGTATATATGTATTTATTTAACGCAATCTTATGAACGCATGAGTTATCCATCATTTAGTACTAGACTATTGCCTTCTAATATTCATTTGTATTGCTACCGACAAATCATACTATGCAAGGAGGTGGTAAACATGTGTTGGTATATTGGGGAGAGAAACATCAGTATACACTGTAATTACGTCATATCCTTCGTTACTGTTGCACTTTTTATAATTGTAATCTGATGGCGAAGAAGATGAAATGAATAAGCTGAAGATGTCATTGCAGGAGAGTGTTTATCTGCTAACCTTCATAAATAAATACAAACTGAAACCTAGAGAGAAGATAAAGAAGGATAGTGTTGCTAAGAAGCCTTTATATCTTAGACCACGTTTCAAAGGTGATATTGCCTCTGAAATCCTAACACGGTGATTTAACAGGTCAGTCGAAAAGACGTTCACTGCACTGAGACTTTTTGTCAGCTTCTCAGCCAAACCATTACTTACAAAGCGAACCAAGGATAGATTACCGATGTTGACTACTTCATTGTGCACTTATGAGTTCAACTGCTCCTGTGGAGTTAGTTATATAGGTCGTATTCAGAGGACTCTATCCATGAACATGTACCAGATTGGTTAGGGAAAGGAATGACAAAGTGCATCAACAGTGCAGTCCTCTCGCATCTAGTATGTACGGAACACCAGATCATGGTAGGTCATGCCTTTTCTGTGATATATCGTGTCCTTTATAATCTCCCTGAAGGTGCATGACTGCGCATCTTATCTATTGCCGAAACCATATGTATCAACACATGAAAACCTGATCTATTTTTTTAAAGAGAAATATGTACATCCACTTTGTCTAGCTCGGCCCACAATAGGGTCAGCACGTTCTTTATCAACTTTCCTACCACAAATTTCACATTTTAACCTCCCACCCCTTCTACATTGTTATTACATTGACAAACATTCGTTTTCTTATGTTATTAGTTTTATGACCTTGTTTATTCATACGACTACCGGCAGTCATCTTCAGCCGTTACATAGCACTTCACACTTTATATTCTTTATTGTATTCACATGGTTTTTCTCCCTATTTGAATATAGCTTATCATTATATAATGATTAACTGATCCTTAGTAAACAAACACACACATTCATGCCCCAGATAAAGGTTTATAAACGAATCGTTGTCACTAGATTTTGTCTCCTTACTTCGTAATTATTCTGTTCATATTGATTTTATTACACAACTAACTAAACTAATTACTATTCCACCTGACAAAAAACTTACATCCGTTTGATTTGATCTCCCTTCATTCACCCATAGCTTTCCATTTTGAAATAATTTTACATCATGCCTTACTTTGGCTATTGTATTCTACTTATTCTCATGGAATTATAACTATCGAGCCTAAAGAAGTTATTAAAAACAATTGTCCGCTCAAATTATTCTTGTTCCAAATTGCAAACGACAAAGTTCTCAAATATGCTGGGTTTTATAACCTCGAATGTTGTTCACGTGTGCTGGAGAAGCATTTTGCGTGTGCACAATGACCTACACATAAGTGGGTTTGTTGTACGTAATGTGTGTTATCTATCAAGTGGTTACTATAAATAAGTAAATAATGAATGTGATTGTGAATTTACTGGTAGAAGTTGTGGCTAATGGGTTATAAGTTGCAACCCCGTTCCACCTGCCGAGGCCTAGGCAGCCAGTATAATCAATCCTCACACATTAAGTATAGCTCATTGTCTACTGCACCAATGTACATGTGGCTGCTAACTAGGTAAAATCATCAGAGCTGGTTGTTATCGTTCAGTTCACTATTATTATTATTACTACCGTTGTTATCATCACTGTTGTTACCATTATTATTATTATCATTATCACTTTAGAATCGTTGATCATGTTCGAGCCAGTCGTCAAAAAAATGTACAGCGAAGTCAGTGGTTGGCGAAAAATGATGAACCATCGCATAATGGGATAGGTGAGTGTAATGTTGGTTTTTTGTTTTAAAGTTCTAATAGGTAGAATCTTTGTTTCTGTTGCATGCAAAAGACGTTGTAATCATAACTTTATTCAAATATATGATGCATCTTTTTTATGTTATGTTATCTGTGAATGCATTTTGTGTTACCGTTAGCTTGCTTACACGTTTTGTTGTCTCTTAATTCCCTCTGCATACGCTGCATGCTGTTTTGAAAATCTTATACTTTGTTGTCGTGACTGGATGTATCCAATGTTATTGATGTTGTTGTTGTGTTGTTACGGGGATTCATCTAACAAATCATATAAAGTCACAAGTTCTATGATAAAACCAACCTGTGAAATATCAAAAGCAATGAATCCTATCGATTTTCATCGTCCACATCCTTTTGTTTCGGGATCTCCTATCTACACACCTGTCAGGCGATCAGAATCTGGCAGTACACCGACTGATATGGAAGGAGATTTTCATTCACCTGCTGCACAAAGTCTTCATGGTGTTTCAGGTTACTCAATCCACAATGGTTCAGCTACTCCATCGACCACAGCTACACCATCAAATAATATAAGTAAGCTGCCTGATTTAAAGAAATCTGATTTAGCTATTTTAATTTTGCTTGAAAATGATACGGTGTTTATTTCTGCATGTCTTTAATTCTGCCAGATACCCTCACATCATGTAGAATTCTCTTCTGGACTATGATATATTTGCTTAATATGGGATTTAGATGATTATTTTTCGTTGAGAATGACCAGCAGATTGTTCCCGCTCTTTTATCTTCTTCACATAATGAAATGATTATTTAAACCAGCTTCATTGTGTTTGTTCGTACCAACTCGCTTAGTTATTTGTTTGTCCTGCTATTTATGCGAAAGTTTATTGAAGATTGTAGCATGTTAATGACGAAAATTTGTGAAACAATCGTCTTTCATCGGTTTATAGATCGTAAAATCTAAACTATGTTTCCTGCGCTACTTTTATCCATTGAGCAGTTGATAGTTATCTCCGTACTAATAGTTTATCATGACATAATCAGTGTTATCCAGCAAAAGCTACTAAAAAAGTGAATGGTTTATTTTTTCTCTATAAATCCACTTATTTCTCCCCATATTGATGATAATGATGAATGTTAATTCATCTTAATTCATTTCTAAAACCTACAAATTTGATCGAAAGAAATTTGTGATGAAAATTTCTTTTTACATATTTAGGGGTAGACTTATGATTTGGATGCCTAATTCACATATTATGTTACGATTTTAAACTTGGATATAGGTATCCGAGTAGTATGGCTTATTCTCACCTGGGTATTGCAATCAATATATCTGTATAGTATACCAGACAAGAATTACAGGGCTTTGATCACAGATGTTCGCGTTTGATGGGATCACCGTGTGAGATTAGGTGGAGGGCACGAAGCAAAACAGGCAAGTCGATTAGTGAAGTTGTGAACCTTAGTTGATCGAAGTGTCTTGGACATGCCGAACCACCGTCTACCTTGACGTGCAATGCTAGAGGAAATTAGATTATGTTGGAAAAGGTTTCAAGGTGGCTAGACCAAAAAGTGATACCAGTCAGTAAAGTTTTGTCTGTTGGTATGAGTCGTGTGGGGGCAATTTAGACTGCTTAGTAGGAGTCCTTGAGACGAGAGGAATCAGTGGTTGAAGACTCTTGGTGACATGGCGCAGATGTATCCACTCCTTGACATCTGAAGTTGAAATATTTGCACTAACCGTTATCTTCAAATTGTTTGTTCTCCCACACAAATTTGTTTCTTGATGCCAGTTTTTTTTCTATCCACTTGTTCTTTGTATACTACCACGGTGAAGTGTTGCAATTTGCGCTGATGGGCTTTTTTGTAAGGTTTTACGTTGATTTTATCTCTGTCTGTCCAGACAACTGAACAGTGTGAATCATGTATGTTTTTACTGCTAAGTTAATCATAAGCAGTAGCATGACCAGTTACTCTGCGGTAAACTTAGGGTTATTGCGTCGAACGTTCATTTTAATATTTATTGATCTAGAACATAAATTCTGTACAAATTTGACACTAAGACATGTACCCTAATATACAACTAAGCAGCATTAAGAAAACAGAAAACGGGAGAGGGAATAGACAAAAGACAGAAATGGCTTATCAAAGAAGTAGTCTGAAACATACGTCCTAGAAAGCATTCAGTTCTTTCATTTTACTTCTCGACAATCTCAGAGGCGAGGAAGCTGCAACACGGTCGACTCTGAAGCATGTCTGCTACCGTTTCAAACTGCTGAGTGGCATGATCTCTTTACATCCATCTAGGGAGTGGGTAGGCACTTATATATGTTAACCTAACGTGATTATCCTTTTATAGTATCATGTCATACACCAGTCACCTATGGTTTTCTTCTAACCGGTACCAGGGCAAGTGAACAGTGATTAGTTGTGAACGACATGCGTGACACGTGTCTAAGACACTGAAGCCGGTCTTCCAAGATGGTTACATTCAATGAATGACGATCTCTGTCACGCTTGAACATCTAAAGGCTTCCCATAGATCAATTATCTACGCGTTTCGCAACCTCTAAAACCTGATTCCTCTCAGTTGAGAATATCAAAGGGCTCCCCATTTTCGATTACCATAGTTCCTGCACGGTTGCTCGCATCCTTGAGAGCAATATGTGTGTAAGTAATTCTCAGGTAAGGCGGACATGAATATATGCATGATACACAATAATACGTTGTTGTATGTGAGCCAAGAGTAGAAACAGAATTTATTACATCCTGTGTATGAAATCAGTTTCAAGACTGGTTTAATTTTCTTTCACACGTGTATTTTGCACAAAAATCAACTTTCATCACTTTCATGGGGAAGTTCACTAGTTTACAGAGTGTTGATGTTGATGTATTAAGATTGTACAATGTCTTCGTTATCAAAAACTTCCATAAAGTCTATTTTACTCCTCTTAACTCTACTTTTAAGCCTTAGTTTAATTTATTTATCTAATTGAAGTAGATTTAGATTGGGATGAGAAGTTCTCATTGGGCAGCCAGTGTATGTACAATCCAGCGATAGTAACGCATTCCAAATTCACGTGGCAGTCGGTCAGAACCCTTGGTGATCTAGGTAAAATAAAAATCTGACCAGCAGTCGGATCTCTTAGCTCAGTTGATAGAAGACTGGACTGGAAACCCGGTGGTTGATCGTTCAAATCCTGCTGCTGCTCAACTTCTCATTTCACCTTAAATCATCAACAAATATTATTATTTATAATTCCTAGTTTTAATAAACACAATCTCCGTCACTATGATAAGTGCGATATACACTTTATATCGCTAAATACTTTAAGTTTATTTATTAAGAGATAGAGGCGTTTCATACAGAAACGTGCATCTTGAAGGTTGGCGAAGCTTATGCTTCCAGAACGACTCAAACTTCGTACTACGCAGCTCTCTGATCTATCTTCTATTTCATTTAGTTAAACGCACTGATCAGTCATTAAGGTGTAACCGTTGTCATATTTTATAGGGTTTCATGTTCTAATCGAACTCTACTGCTAGACTTTTGTATTTTTTTTTTACCACCAAGCTATTCTTATTTACCAAACTGAGGAATCTGGTACCAATGCTCATTGTTTTATGTTTGATAGTTGAATGAAGTTAGCTGGAAATCTTGCCTTCTAGTTTCATATTTGCTGTCACTTATCAATGTAGCAAGATCGTAGACCATAATAACTTTGGAAATCAAATCTTGAGTAGTATTACTACATCTTTACGATTAGTACATACATTTACTGATTATGTTTATCAGTTTCAGCTTAATTGTAATCATCTGTTTTGTAGCTTTTAAAATAGATTGAAAATATTCTCGAATATTCAGCAGACAATAAAGATTTGTTGTTATTGCTGTGATTTTCTGTCATTGACTGAACTAAACTGATCGGTCTCGGTTGGCATATGTGCTCCTGCGCGGACACTCTAACACTGCCTGTAGTTTCATTTTGGTAGTGATGATGGTTGGTGGCTAGCAGGGGGAATCCAGGATGCGCTTTTCCTCCTATTTGAGACTCGTCAGTTGGATTCCCCTACCTCCTAGTGAGTGATGTTTCGCTTACCAAGACTTTAATCTGCTACCGGTGACTTCAGACACCAGAGCGTTATGCACTAGACCACTGAGTCACGATAGCTACTTTTTATGCAATGGGTATAGTTTGGATGTTATTGCTTTCAATTTCTTGTTGAATTGGAACGAGTTGATCAGTCTACTTAATAGTACGAAACACATGTCCTAGATTCCACTGCCAGCCACTACCCATCGTTATTGCCGAATAAAGATTTCCATTTATTACACCAAAATTAGGTTAAGAAAAAAAGCTTTTAATGTTTGTATCAAACAATGCAAAAAAAGTGTGTGATACATCGAAAGTTTTGTCAGTTTCATAATCCTTTTGAGATATTTCATTGGAAGCTTGTTTAGTGGTACTTATTTTATTTATTTTTAGCTCCGACTAAACGGTTTAACGACTCCTCTGTAAATAAGAGTGCAACATTACCCGCTAATGTACAACACATGAGTAAGTTTATCAATTGACCTTAAACTTTAAATGCTCTTAATTCTACTAACTTCTCTAACAATGAACACCGTTCCGGTGAATGGATACCCAGCAGAGTGAAGTACAGATAGTGCCATTCTGCGCGTAAATTTCATTTTCATCTTGTTTTCGAATGCACATTTTCTGCAGTCCTATTAACAATCTGTATCTGCTTGGAACTTGATAAATCGTTTATTAGTTCTTGGTTCACAGTATGCACGGTACAATGGCATTGAACTTACTTTCTCATTTTTAGTGTAAAGGGATTCAATTCCTCTGTTTATTGGTGTCATATATGTGTTGGTTTCCTACATCTATTTGCTGAAAGTATTCACTTCATCATCTGTAGGACACCGTTGACTTTTTAAATTCCTCTGTCAAGCGTGCCAGTGCAAAGAAACCACACACTTTCTCATCGCTAATATGCTCTTATGAAATCATTTTACATATCGCAGTATCACTGGGCGGTGGAATATTAAACGTAAGCATATGCTACTCATGTATAAGGTAGGAAAGGGTACTAGGCAAGACAGGTAAGGTGTTGTTAATATTCATCGGTTGAGATGGCTTGGATATGTATTGCGCATGCTGAGACGCCGCCTGTCTTGACGTACAATGCTAGAAAAAGTTAGATTAAGTTGGTAAAGGGTTCAAGGTGGCCAAATCAAGACGTGACACCAGTCGGTGAAGTCCCTAACTGTTGATCTGAGTGGTGTGAAGAGATGTAGGCTACCTAGTTGGGGTCCACGAGACGACAGGAATCGGTGCTTTAGAACTCTTTGTGATATGTCTGAAAGTCTGTCTGTGGCACAGATGTACTCACTCTTTGACATCTTTTAAAGTATGAATATTTACACTAACCGTTATCTTCAAATTGTTTATTCTCTCACACAACATTGTCTCTTGATGTCAGTTTTTTTCTATCCGCCTGCTTTTTGTTTGCTACTGTGAAGTGTGGCAACTTGAAGGGGTACAGTTGTATGCGAGATTCGACGTTGATTTCATCTCTTTATCTATTGTCTTGGCAAGTTAAAAGTATGCTTTCTGTGTATGCAGATCATTCCATTGAAAGTGATATGCAGGTGAAAAGTTATTGATTTCCTAGGCGGTGATATAATAGTGGTGTTCACCGTGCTATCAATAATAAAAATGATAGATATTATTATTAGTGTCCAGAAGACAAACGAATTAGAACAATATGACTGACGTTTCAGTATCAGAAAAGACACCGGAGATCAGAAAAACCGTTTATAAAATGTTAACATTTTTCAGCTGGGACCCTCCTTTTTTGAACACCGAAATGATTTATTCGATCCGTGGGAATCGCAACCAAACGTTTACCTTTTTTCTGAGGAGTGTAGAAAAAAGTGAGCCATTGAAAGACTCTGTGTATCGTATGATATAGGTAACCGCACCGGTTGAAGTCTGTTGAACTTAGGGAAGTAGACTTTTGGAATACGGCGTAGTGATCCACATGTAACAGCATGTTCCTCAGTACTTGAGTACTGTTACTTGTAGTCTAATGATACTGAACTGTTCCCTGTATTCTGATACGATATGTACTCACAAGAATCAATCTATTGCGTACTGTATAGTCATTTTCCCCTATCAACATAAAGCCTTGTTGTATGGGATTAAGCTGTTTCGCATTTGTATCCACGAAAGGTTTTTGTGAAGGTCTTTTTCTCACAATGAATATGATATTTCTATCAAAGTAAAATGTAGATGGTAGAGGAAGGGATTAGCTTTCGTAATGTGACAACTATGTTAACTTTTTGGGTTATTTCCGATTTTATTAGTAACATTCTTCTTCTTCTTCTATTTCAGCTGCTATTTCTAATTCGAGCACTCTACAATCTGTTGACGGGGATCTCTTGAATACTAATAATGAGGTTATTGTTGTCATGTTTTATTCTTATTATCTCTTGCATGTAGGAATTTATGTTCACTTATTTCTGTTGTGCTGCTGAACAGTGTTTTATTACAAAGTAACAGTTTTATGTGTATAATAAGTAGAGCATGTTACAGAGCTCATTTCATTTCTTCCTTGTTGTCATACTTCAAATTTGTGTTTCACGATACAGTTTTATTAAATGATTATGGCTTAGCTAATTTGTTTTGACAGTTAGTTGAGGCCAACAAGCAGGTCAGATCGTTGGCTTGTTACCTTGACATGGTGGTCGGGCTTGCATACCACATTCACCCAACGAGCTATGCTGGTGGGACACTTGTTCCTTCGAGGTCCTATCATGCCAGAAACATCTTTTGGATAGTGGTAAGATGAAAAGCAGTTACCGTTCTAATGTAAATTGCTACACTATGATGGGGTCTGAGGGCGAAGTCGTCCTGCTGCTAGCTGGATAGGGTGTGATGGGAGTAAAGTGGTGTTTCCCTTAGGTGACTAACAGTGCTACACTGAAGCTGCCTTCTCAACGGAAGGGTGGGTTGGGGTAGATGGTTAAAAAGGGTCGGCCCTTAAAATAACACACCCCTCCCTGGTCCGCAGTCTCTCTACCTGGCGTTAGAACAACCGAACCTTGAAACAACATTTCGTAAAAGGCTGTCACAAATCCCAAGCAGATGTCCAATCGGCTCTTTTTCTCTTTCAAGTACCTTAAGAAGAAATATTCTTCCACGTTATGGGTAACCGGGAAATGTCAACAGTCCGCACGCTTTCATCAGGTCAGATAGAGAAACAGCCAATAAGAAATTAGATGGAGTCGATGAAACAAACGACCAATTACTGACCAGTTCGTCAGGGCAACCCACTGAATCACTCATGGTGAGATTTTGGGATAGCTCACTTTAATATGAATTCAAGTTAGTGCTGATGATGTTGTCTAGATAGATAATGTGAAGGCTTCACGATTAAACTCCCATCCAGAGAAAACAACACAGACAAGGTCAACAAGCCTTTAGGCGTTCTTTGTATATTCATGTACAACGGTCAGAGGTGGGGGACAAATTTAGATATTTTTGATTATGAACACTGAGTAAACGCCTATTTTTCTTGATTTGTTGATGGTGTTATGGCCTTTTCTCACTTTTAGGGAAGTAAAACACTTGAGAAGAAAATCAAAAAGAAAGGAAGTTTTCGAATGCCATCGTTTTCCAGAAAGAAAAAGCATTAACACAAACTTACACGATTTTGTCTCTATGTACTTGTTTCCAGTTAATTTTCATGCACTATTCTTCCTTCTCCTCCTCAATATTCTGTTTATCTCATCGTAACAGCTTACATAAAAGTGGAACACTACCACCAACAGCAACAACTGAATACTTTGAAATTCTTTTGCTGGATTAAAAAACCAATTGTTAGACGATTGTTTTCTAACTATTTTCTGATCTATTACTCTTCTGTTTTTCCTCTTCGTGATTGATTGTTGGGATTGACCTTCTTTCTGCTTACCCCCACCATTTCTTTCTTGCCAGTCCACTGGTCACTTCATAAGTCTGTACTATTTTATAAGGTTGTACTATTTTTGCTCCTGTTGGCATACGTGTGCGTGCGCGCATGTGTGTGTGTGTGCGATTCTGCCTTCACTTGGTTAATATTCTCTATATTCAAGGTTGGGGTACATTTTTTTCAGCTGATACTTAGCTTTATTTTCATTCTCTCTCTCTCTCTCTCAAACTATCAATAATCAACAGACAATTTTTAATTACAAAGATGTCTGCCTCCAATTTCTAGGCATCATCATATACTCAGCTGGCAGGTGAAACTGACCAGTGGATGTGAAGCGAGTATTGAAGCACCTTATTATTGTATGATGACAGCCTTGTTGTTTTTTTCAATTACGGTGGAACGTAGGATCTTTTCTCTCTTCGTGTACGCGCACTTCTAAGTATGATGTATGACGTTTTAGTTTTTTGGAGATTCACATTGTGAGTTTTTGAGACGGAATAAACGTTATTCTTCTTTATTTAGTCTCTGTCTATTGTGAAAAGAGAAGTATTCCGGAGAAATGTTTCTTTTCTCTAATCCTCTCTTTCCTACCAGATATGCATCATTATTAACGCTGAAGTAACAGTTTATTTTCATGGAGTATTAACATTAGCATATTCCACATTTTAAAACTACCGATTTTGTTTATTTCCATTGTAAGTTGTGTTGAGTCGTAGCTTTTAATCTCCGCCCGGCCCCCATCCTATCTCAGACCTTATTTTTTGCTTTCGTTGTTGTTGATTTCACATCTTGCCTCGACTTCTCTATAAAATTTTCATCTATTTCTGCTACCGCCTGAAGCTTCTTTAATATAAACTCGGTTATTTGTTCAGCTTATTAAAAAACAAACATAGTTATTGAAGTCTCTTTGTGTATATGTGTAACAGTGCGCCCATTAATCCTTCATCTATACTCAAACAATGTTTTTGACGTTTCTTACCACTATAATATGTTTCAACTAATCTATAATTTTAGTCCAATTATATTAATAGACACTTCTGACGTTTTTTACAACTAGATGTGTGCTTGTTAGTGGTTCATGTTGTTTGCGGTGCTATTTGTGATTTGTAGTCGGAGTTTATGTATAAATGTTCCAGTGTCTGACGTTGTTAAGCCTTCAACGTATGTTAACAAGTGTCTTCTTTGGTCGTAGACCTCAAGCGTAAACTTCTTTTGTAAAAGCACTTGTGTCATCATGAGGTCTATGCCAGCAAACGTGTATGGAGATCGTCGTGATATTTCTCTGCACTACAGATATATGTGCATTCGTTTACTATTCACAGAATACGCGGGTCAAAACAGCACACTGTATATTAGTGAAGCTTTATTTGTTGGAAAAAGCAACTACCACTCACTAGTTACCACATATATTTTTTAAAACAGTACATCAGATGATTTTAGCTATTGAAGGTAAGTAGTAGTTTATTCGGATGTTGCATAATAACAGAAACTGACACTAATGATGGAGAGTGGCTAGGATTGGAATCCAGGACGTGCGTTTCGTCCCACTTGGTACTCACTCGTCAGCTGAATGAACCTGCCTCAGTAAGCAATGTTGTTCCCATTAAGACTCAAACTCGGTGCCGATTGCTTCAAATGACAGGTTATCCACCAGGCCACTGAGTCACGGTAGCTACTTATTGTGCGACGGGCATAGTTTTTATATTGTTGCTTGTATTCTCCCATCACTGATGGACCGAATTAATAGGTCTTTATATGTTCGGTCCAGTCAACGATGGGATAATACAAACAACAATATGCCCATAGCACAAGAAGTGGCTATTGTGACTCGATAGTCTAGTGCATAACGCTTTGGCGTTTGAAGCCATCGTTCCCTGGTTCGAATCTTAGTAAGAACAACAGTCATTGGGAGGCAGGCGAATCCAACTGATGAGTTTCAAATAGGACGAAACGCACATCCTGAATTAAACTGCTAACCACTATCCATCATTAATGTGGAGTTGAAACGACAAGCAGTATCGAGGTATTCACGCCTGAGCCCATATGCTAATAGAAACCGATCAATTCGGCCCAGTCAGCGATGGTTAAAATGAGCAACAGCATAAGAACCTAATATTCGTGGCTGGTATGTGAGAACAGCAGTTGATATATGGTCAATTTCGATTGATTACTGCATTGGGGAGTATTCTCGGTCACTTTGATGAGTTGAAATTGGACACTAGGGGAGGGAGGAAAGTACAGTCCTATGTTGCACTTTGTTCGTTATGTTACAGTGAGTGATAAATTTCATTTTACTGATTAATATATTGAACAAATTAATTTGAATTCACTTTCTAATTTTGTGTTGTTTTAGCTTCTGGTCTGCTATATTAACTGTGTAAAAATTTGTGATAGCAGGATAACTGTTGACCAGTAAACGGCAAATCCTCAGTGTAGGTTAGAGTTGTATCAGTCAGCGTTGTATTTTCTAACTGTCTGAATCACGGTAATCATCTTTAATTTAGATTAAAATAAATGTTGGTCTCAGCAGTGTCAGGAGATGTAGGCTGTCTGGTTGGGGTTTCTGAGACGAAAGAAATCAGTGGTAGGAGGACTTCTGGTGACATAGCAGAAAATCGACCACTGGCGTAGATGTATTCACTCCTTGACATCTAAAACTTGAATATTCGCACCAACTTTTATCTCCACTTTGTTTATCCTCTCACATAACTTTGTTTACTTTGATGTCAGTTGTTTTCTATCCACTTGTATACTATCACGGTGAAGTATGGGAGCTTGAAATGCTGCACTGTTCGAGGTACCACGTTGATTTTGTATGTCAGTTTTCCTACATTCATCAGTAATCAGAAAGAAATGAAGTTTGAAAATCTTCATATGTTGTTAGACAACGTAGCAAGATTGTAAAATATTTATAATGCTCTTTTCCGGTAGGATTCATTTGTTTCTTTTTACTCAGTTATTTGACAATCTTTTATCATGAAATTAGTTTGACATCTGTCTTTCATCCTACTATTCAGCGGTATCCACTATTCGTGTATTCATGTCGTCAACATGGAAAATAATTTTACTATACTACTTTGGTTATTGTAAGGGTCACTTGTATTATAATTAGTTTAGCAGGTTTTGGAGGTTTACCTGTCATCTAAGTGTAGTAAATATTTTAACCAAGTATTTTACTTTCTACGGGTGACGTGTATTATCCACATTTCTAACAATGCAGATCGAATAATTTGCGCTTTGTTAGCAGATAGCCTCCTTTGCGGATGCCTGGACACTGGCTGAATACTCATAATTTCGTAACTTGGTGACTAGCAGTGGAATCCAGAACGCGTGTTTCGTCCTACTTAGGACTCGTCAGCTGTATGTACCTGCACCACACTGACGATGTTCCCGCGAAAACTTGAACTCAGTAGTCATCGCTTCAAACATTAGAGTGTTATCCACTAAGCCATCAAGTAAATTACGAGATGATACATATTCAAGGAGTATCGGGTCATCCACATCCATTTACCAGCAGAGGTAGAGCGTTTCGACCCAGTACACCAACGGGAAATTAAAGGTATCATAACTGATACCTATTGACGTTTGAAGTGATGGGAACTAGGCCTTGAGTTTCAGAGAGAATGGCTTCACTCACTATGGTGCAGGCATATCCAGTTGATGAGTGAGTCCCGAATAGGATGAAAATCGTGTCCTGGATTCCACTGTTAATCATCAAGTAAATGATAACTTAATGTCGTTGGTATTTTAAGTGAAGCAAGATGATGTAAGCCTTTCTTCGGGACAATAAACTGTACTGGTCGCGACAGCTTCTCTTTGGAATTTTCAACTAAATGATTTTCTTAATTCATAACAGTTCCCTAAATGATAATTCCAACCTAGCAATTTCGGGTGTCAACCAACTATGGGATTCCCTATTTAACACTCTTTCGTTAGCTTCTTGAACCACGGATCTAATTTATTAATATTCTACACTCATGGGTCCTAGCTAAGTGATTCTGTATCTACGTAGTTATATATCCAACCACTTGTAAAATTTTCTAAGGCATCTTTTTGCGTTCTCGTATTTTACACAATATCGCTTGTGGAATTATTCTTATCTTTATTATATCCACAGGATGTTTACTCTATGGTAAATGATTGATGTCAGTAATGTCAGGATGCTTCTTCATGGCTTTTCATAATTTGTATTCCCTAACCTTGATTAATAAATGCTGTCATTTCAAATAGATATCATAAAACGAGATGCATTCTAAGGTCTGAACCGCTGAACCACAACTGCTATGGTTACACTTCAAGTACTAATGATTAGATAATTTGGTTTAGTTCGTATATTGCGCACATGTAATTTACTTAGTTTAGTTTGAAGCGATTCCAAGGTCATCAAGTGTTACTGTTGTTTTGATGTTGAGAATAATGATTATTGACTAATTGACGTCCACTGGTTGTGCTAAGAAAAATTCCTCACTTATTCAGTAGTATCTCACTCACTCTTGTGTCCTTCGAGGTGACGAAAGATGACAAGCTTGTTTTATCGATGTTGATTAAGTTTATTACATTATTATTATTTGTCCCTTGGGTTCCTAATGGAACATACGGCTTCAGTTAGCACGTCCCCAGTGTACTCTGTTCTCTGCAAACTTTTGAACCTGGCTCCACGACAGCCCACAAGCATTCATTTCTTCCTCGCACGATCTCCTCTATGTCGCTCTCGCCCCAGACGCCCAACTCGTCGCTTCCCATCTGGGTTCCACTCGAGTGACTGGCCTTGCGCGTGATGTCCCCAGTCTGTCTTCTCAGTGCATGCCCAATACATCTCCACTTCCCTCTGCATATTTGTTCAGCGATAGGTTCTTGGTTAGTTCGTTGCCAGAATGGGTTTCTTGTTGCTTATTCTTATTATTCTGGCCATCTGATCTTCAGCAACGAGCGTAAGCAGTTGTTGATGAGTGTCTATAGTTTGTTGGAAGTGGTTTTCGTGACGCGCCAAGTCTCTGAACCATACAGAAGCACTGATTTGACGTTGGTGTTGAAAATCTGGATGTTGTTGAGGCTTTATGCTGAGTGCAGTAAAGCAGATCTCCACACTGGTTTCGGGTTAATGAACGCCTGTCTTGCTGTTTTTCCGATTCTGACTGCTTTGACATCCTTGTCTGTGCTGCCTGTAGTTGAAACAGTGCTGCCTAGATAAGTGTAGGTGAAAGAGGCTACTTTCTTTAAGTTTCTTCCGTTGATGATGATTGGAGTTTGTTGTTACTGGTGGTATTGTTGGTTGGGATCCTCATCACCTCTGTCTTCTCAACGTCCACTTGAAGTTCTATATTCCTTCGCAGCCAGGCCTCTTCTGACAACTTGTTAGTTTTCGCCTATAGATCTTCAAGTTTGTGTGACATCAGACATAAGCCATCGGCGAAATCCAAATCTTCTAGGTTCTTTTCCGCAGTCCAGCCAGCGTATCCCCCTCTTCTCGCTCCTCACTGTTTGTTGCATGATCCAGTCGACCACAATCAGGAATATCATGGGTGATAGTAGACAGCCTTGTTTTACTCCTGTCTTCGACTCAAAAGCATCACTGAGCTGAGCTGTCCATTGTGAATTACTTGGAATATGGCGTCGTTGATTAAGTTTACTCTTGTGAAATCCAACTAATTTTTGTATCCACTTACATCAACGTTAGAATAGGAACTTCTCAAAGATACATTTAGTCAAGATTTCGTCTGTTTTGTGTATTTTTTATATAAGAATGTTAAAAATTCCCATTATGAAAATTAAAGGACATTTTAGCGAACAATAATGTTTTTAATTAGCTCTCATCAGACCTTACAATATTGTACATGAATTTTCTCATCTACAAAACATTAAACCAATCATGGTAATTAGGAAATGAAACATGCAAATAATAGATATCTAGACAATCATAATAATAATAACAATGATAATAATTATCTCAGTGACGATAAGGATAGTGGGAACAGCGTAGTATTGCAAACATTTAGACAAGCAATGCCTATCAAAACTTAGAAATGTAAGAGTTACATAATACTGAAGGTTGAAATGATAGATAATCAAGGTCTAAGGAAATAAACATGTGTGAAAGGGGAAGAGGATCAAAAGTGAGTTTATGTTTTCTAACCAAGGCAGAAATATAGGCTACACAAACTTTTTCTGCACACAAAGACTAGGTTTGTTTACTCCAATTCCCA